GCTTCTTCAGATTGCACAAGGAAAAGAAACTGCAAAGGTAACATGCAACTATTGTTCATTTGCTCCCCACTTCTGCGGTACGTCCTACCCCACTTCCGTTTTTTTTACCTCTTTTTTTTTCTTTTGTAAAGCCATATTTTTAATATCCCTCCTCGTTCCGTTTCTTTTTTTGCCCGCCATGCAAACCTCAGGTGGTGCTACTCTTCAATACCCACACGCCTGGTGAGAGAGACTCGGCAACAAACACTCGACGATCTCAGACAAGGCACCTAAAAGAAGAAAAAGGGCCAGGTCGGGGGATCGCTCTGTTTTTGCAGCCGCCGTCACTGCGAGATGCGTGACTCAGAGAGGGCTGGAGTGAATGCATCCCCATACATACTTCTTTTGTTTTGACTTTATTCCTTACTCCACTCCCTCAACAAAGGCCCTCGGCGGTGACACGCCCTTTCACCCGATAATGATACGAAAAGAGTGGAGGAAGAAGCGCACCGCACACCGCAGTGATGTGTGCGGCCCCTCCCCCGCGCATTCCTGCGCCCCACGCACACAGAAAAAAAAAGGAGGAAACGGCGCTGCAGAGATAGCGAGAGAGTAAGAGAGAGAAAGTAGAGGGGTGGGGGGAGAAGAAATAAAAGCGAGCGGAAGGGAACTCCTCCTCTCAGAGGCGGGGACTGAACGGTTCATGCGCCCCCCGCCTCGCCCCTTCTCTTCTCCGTCGCACCCGCTCTTTACCTTGACGCATGCGCTAACCGAAGAAAACGCACGTGCGCCAAGGCGCAGAAAAAAATGGCGCTGCAGCTTGGATAACAGAAGCAGTATATGACGATCGTTCAGAGAGTCTGTTAGAGGGAAACCCGAAGGAGAGTGACATTAAGAAGGGCAGCGTTTTCTTTTTTCTTTTTTCCTTCCGCCCTTCAGCCCATCGAATGAACAAAAAAGAAAATCAACGCAAGATATGAAGTGAAAGGGCCCAATGCCAATACAAAGAAAGAAAGCCACCGTACGGCAAATGCCCCGACGCTTGTGGAGGCCCACATTTATACTCTCTCTCTCTCTCTCTCTCGTTCCTTTTGTTCTTCGTTGTGAAGATGGCACAGCGCAAAATGCTGCCAAACTTACACACCGTCCCACTTCCTTCATCTCACCTTATACTTCCTGACCCGAATCTCCTCGTTGGTGCCCCTTCCGCCAGCATTTTTTTTTCCGCCCCCAATCCTCTTCCCGGACCCACCCCTGCTGAACACAGCCACACTCAGGAGAGCGCACACCCGGGCACAACAGTGTTCCACCCTACAGAGCACAAAAATGAAAAAGAAAAGGCACTATGGGCGCAAGGAGGCTCTCTTGTCTTCGCATGGCCATGCCGCACGTCATATCGACGAGTCGTACGACTCTTCGCCAAGCCGAAAAGAATGCGAAGCAAACAAACAAAAAAAAACTGAGATTACGGGGTAGAGGTGCCAGTAAAGAATGTCCGGCCCGTTTGGAATGGGTGCATAAGCAAGGCTTAATGACGGGGACGGGTAACAACTATAGCGGCGAAGATGATTACAATTTGTATAATCGGCGGTCGGCTGAAAATGGGGCATTTGTTGTGTGTGTCTGTGTTTTTTTTTGTTGGCAGGGGATAGTTTGTTCTGCTTCAGCCGTGCGGCTGTCACGACCCCCGAAACCGGACTCCTTCCATCTCCCTTCTCCTCCTGCCTTTCCTCGCAGCGTCGTGGGCCCCTTTTTTTTAACATTTCCTTGTGCTCCGTTTTAGCCTGCACCGATATCACGCCCCGGCAGTTCAGCCTCAATTAGTAATCAAGGGTCCCCAACCAACGACGTCAGTACCAAGTTAAAAAGTAAATGAGGGGCATCTCTGCTTGCCTTTTTTTTTTGTCTACCACGCGCTGAACGGAGAGGAGCCATCAAAAACTGGATACTCGCCAGGGCCTATGAACGTACACGGGCATCCAAGCAGCTCAGCAGCTTATTCCCGCTCAACTATGTCACCCTCACATCGCCGTCCCCCCACCCCCCCACACACACCCTCCAGAAACAAATTACTCTGGCATCCGTCCAAAAACCACAATCCACGTCTTGTTCTTCGTTGGTGTAGCGTTAAATGCCCGCGTACAGAATTGTACACAAGCACCTACCCATGCACACACACACAAAACAGAAAAGAAAAAAAAAACACACATCTTAGAGTTGCCCAAAAAAACTGTTGCTCCCGACAAATGAAGAATCCATTTCTGGTGTGTTTTTATGAACATCTTCCGTCACTTTGGGGCCCACGCTGCCAGATGCATTCCAGGGAAGGGACGAAGGAGACAAGGTGTGCAGGCTACCATCAAAGTCGTGGTGTGGAAATCCGAGGGACACCAACCGCGTGTCCGTTCCCCCAAAAGATTCACCCCTCGCCCTCGCCCCCCACACACCATTTCCATGATGCGCACCACCGTCTCCGGAGGCTCCAGCAGCTGGGAAGGTCGTGCAGCTATTGCCTGCACTTCGCACCGGTTGAACCCAACCGAAACTTGGTGAGGCCGTGCAGCTAGTACTTCCGCCAAGGGTGTAGGGGTTGTTTGTATGCCTGTAGCTCCTCCCAGCATGGCTTAAATTGCTGTGACTCGCTTGCAAAGAAGACTGTGACCGTTCATCCCCATCGACCACCACCACCAAATCACCTAATGGTAAAACACACCCGGTAGAGGTACTTCTGAGATTACGTGGGTTGCTGTTGCCAGATTCGTGTGCAGACGGCGGTCTGCCTTGTTGTGCTTGTTGATGTTTTGTAAATGCTGGCATCTTCACAGGAGTATAGAATGCTTCATTCTCCGAGGAGATAATCCCATCGTGAGAAGGATGCATCAGTGACGGGTGGCTCACGAGCGGGACTCCGGGGCGCTCTCCGTTGTTATTGGGTGGTGTTTTCTCTATGTCTCTTCGCACCTCGGGGGTTTCACCCAGACCTTGCGGTGGTGGTGTTGGGACGTACGGCCATGCTTCTGGGTTTAGTTCCCTCCCTTGCCCGGCAGCGTCATTCACGTCGGTGGAATCCGTTTCGGATTGTGCGGCGAGTGTAGCAAGCATGTTTTTCATTCTCAAAAAGAGATCTTTTCGCTCCTCAGCCGAAAGTTGCTCACCACTATGAACCCACTGACGATGCAGATGGAGATACGGTGGCACCACATGTATCTGGTTGCAACATGCACTGGCAGTGCAGCGGTTGCGCTGAAAAAGCATACACACACTTGGTGCTTTTTTCGCTGAGCCCTGAAATAAACCTCGCGAGAAGCCAGCGATGCTAGCCTTCGGAAGACTCAAGCTTGTCTTTAGTTGGGGATCGTGAACGGTGAACAAGTAATTAGGTGGCAAACTATTGAAACATTTTTCAAGATTGTTTGACCATGATTCGAATTCATTCTTCTTTGAATGCATCCACGCTAGCTCAATATGTACCTGGTTACACCACCGCCCCCATTTACATTGTGAAGGGTCAGCAGAAAAGAGTCCGCATGCTGTTGGTACTTGCGATGCCATCATTGCAAATTGATTCTGGTGCCCACTTCGTGCCCGCCTTGCCCGCATGCTGGGGTCGACATACAACCCCTTTGTAAAACGCAATGCCGCTATTGGCACCTCCACCACCTCCTTTAGGTCAGCACAGAAGACACGAAACACCTTTCCTGGATCCTGCGCAAGCGACTGCTGAAACTCGCGCTCTTTACTCTGGAGCCATGAAACCATCGCTTGTCTTGTGCTGGCCAAATATTCTGGATAAACATGAATATCTGTGCAGGCCTCACCAAGGATGCACCGGCCCTCTTGAAACGGTTCACATATGCGCATGTTGTTGCGACTGCCGAAACCGGCAGCTTGATGCTGTGCGCTAAAGAGGTTCTGGCTCCCCACCGAGGGGAACACAACACCAGGTCGCACAAGAATAGGGGCTTTTAGGTGGCTGTCATGAACCTCAAATATCCCTTCTATCTCCTCTTCCTCCTGAGCAACACCTGGCAGATTACTGAAGCCGACCATCGGCAAGCTGTAGGGGTGTCGAAAAACAGGCGTTGAATTGTTGACCGCGGGATTTGTCGCCACTTGACGTTGGTTTCCAAAGTTCACGGCTGTATTGCCTCCATTTGTCTTTGGGTAAGAGCCGTACATCATCATATACGGCGGCACAGAACCAGCAAGAGTGGAGTTTGCACCAACATCAAAGCCCTGGCGATTTTGATCCGAGCTAAACATCTCTTTATTCGGGGGTTGATGGTGATAAAGTTTTTTTTCTTGTCGATTGTCTTTTGCCAAACTATGTAGATGTCCGTCTGTATCTCACTCTCTTGCGATTAATCACCCCGGCGTATACACAAAAAAGAGGGCGCCAGAACAAATGGCGGGCTTTCTCACGCACAGGCACGCAAGCACACACACCCACCTACTGGTGCCTGTCTCTTCTGTTCCCTTTTGAGGTGTCGTTTCCTCGCCTTGCCCCCACTCACTTGCTTACACGTCTTGCTCCACTGACTGCAGGAGGTGGGGAGGGGCGTGTGGTGCGAGTGACCAACGAATGGAAACGACCGATGAATTTGTTGTGTGTAGCTACTGCTCCTTCTACTTCCGCCTTCCTTGTTCCCTTCTTCTATTGTCGATTCCTGTGCGTTCTTTCCGCTTCCTTCTGCAACTCCTTTTTGGTGTGTTGACTATCAACCTCCCCTTGCAGCCTATTCGATGGAACCTTTTATTTTCCTTTAGGGGGTGGGTGGGTGGGTAAACAAACGAATAAAAAAGAAGAACAAAAGTAAGAATATACAAAGAGTGCAAGGAAACACACACACACACACACACACAAGTGTAGGTGTACATGCACACGCATGAATCCATACCATACGTACGCGTACGTCTTCCCGTGTCACGCGCCTTGTCTTTGCCGTCACAATATACGCCCATCGCACAATAGAGTACAAGTGTAATATCAAGACATAAAAACCAATGTTGAAGTGGCACACGTCATCTTCTACAGGCCTATTTGCACGGGTGCCATCCCTCGGTTGTGGTTATACCTTTTCTTTTTTCTGTTGCCCTTCTTGATGTTCGCTCTTTTTTTTTGTTTCTTTTCGCTGGCGTAAGCTGAGTATGAGTGTTTTTTTTTCTTTGCTTATTCTCTTCCTGTGTATCATCCCCATCCGCATCTTCCGCTTTCTTTACAGTGCACGGCCATCCACAGACACTTGACCTTTTGTTTTCTTTTCTTTTTTTTACACATACACACACATCTACAGAGGGCACATCCGTTTTACTCTCCTTCTACCCCCACAGAGTGGGCCGCGTCGACAGCGAGGAGTGAGATAGTAACGCTTGGCGCCTCCACACTGACACTGGCGTTTCTACTTCTTTCCACCCCCTCTGGCAGGCTCTCGCGACGTTCACCCGTGGTATTCAAGAGTAAAAAGCTGCGAACTGCAACGACCTCTGGTGAGGAGGAGACAAGTGTCGAAAAGGGCACAAGCGCCGAACCGACTTCTGTAAAGGAGTTGTCCGTAGGCTTGGAGCTGCATCCGACGGTTATCCGTAAAGACCTGCCGTAGATGGCGCGGAGGTCCACAATAGTTTGTGCCTCCTCCAGCGACCACGCGGCACTGCAGGACTTGGCGCATGTTTTCTTTACTTCAAGCAGAACATGCTGGAGACACGACATAGTTACCTTGACCGACTTCGCTGCTGCATCCGTCCAAATAGCGCAGCAGTTAGAAACATGCACACGAACCCGAGTGACAGGGAGGTCCGGTGTATTGTCTGGTGCATGGAAGAGACGTGAGTCAAAGAGGCCGGGACTGTGAGTGGTCCCCGCTAAGAAATCAGATGAGCCTTCTGCAATGACTTCACCGTTTACCCTACCGAAGCGGGACTTCACTGTTATTGTGCCTAAATTCTGCCTACGACCAAACTCCTGGTCCTTGTGCGGTTGAAGGCTGAAGTGGTGCGTGCCGGTTTGACAAATATCCGCAATGGAAATACGGGCGACACCAAGCACGTCGCAGAGCTCAATATTTGTATCCCATACCTCCAAAGTCACATGACTCAGAATATCCGGTGAGACAGGTAAAACAAAGGTGGCCTTTGGGTATGACCAACGCGGCGCTGTGCTTCCCGAGACAAGCGGAGCGACCACCATGCGTCTCCGCCCTACTCGTGCCGTCACAAGAGGATCGATTTGGAAGTCATCAAAGCCCGTACCCTGGAGATCGTCACACCCACTGACATGAATCAGCACCAAGTGCCCATTCTCACTGGTTGTACATGACAAAGACTCCATACCTCGATGCAAAGACTGTGGTGCACGCGGTAACTCTTGTATTGGGAATGAGTGAGTCAAGACCGTAAGAGTTCCTTTTCCCTTGATTGAAAACTGCATGCGATTGCGTCTTGTTCCATTCATAGTCACTACCATTTCTGCAGTGCCGATCTTGTTAGATTCATTATTATCGTACACCTCTAAACGATAGGTGGCTGTGCAGCCCGCAAGTGAGGGGCACATGATGAAACACGATGCCCCCTCTTCAGTCCATTTGGCGTCGTAGGTACCAAGATTTAATGAAGTACGCAATATCACCTCCCCCTTCGGCCCGCGCACAATTACGAACGGATCCGGCATAAACTCCTCTTCTAAACCAGGCATCATACTGAAACTCTCTACATGCAAAACAAGCACTTTTGCCGGACGCTCCGAAAGATCTTCCATGCTAGAGGGTGTCTTTAATCCAAGAATAGACACCAGCACTTTGCCGTACACTTCTCCAGGCTCTCCCTGTGCTCGGTTCAGTGGGAAAACATGAATACCGGTACCACTAAAGGCAAGTGTGTCCACTGGTGTATCGTATGATGCAAGAAACACGTCGCGGTGGTACAAGTCGAAACTAACAATCCCATCGCTCTTTATAGTACAAAAGCTGCTCTGTCCGGGCCATGAAGGAGATCGTGTCTTTGGTGTCACCTTTGGGGTTCGCAGAATCTCCTTGGATTTTCTGTCCGTCTCCACAGAAACAGTAATTACGGCTTCGATGCGATGCTTTAGACCTTGTACTCCTATAACTTGCAGATATACGGTACTGACATCGTCCGATGACTTATCATCATTGTCCTCGTCGGCAAGTTTCTTCTGCAAACTGCTGTATTTTGAGGCAGTGACAGCCAGCATACAAACTTCAATGCGTGCCCTATTCTCATTGACTTGCTCCACCCCATCCGGATCTTCTGGAAGCAGGCGCAAAGATCTCAAGCCCACACCACCATTCTCCCTAAAATCAGATGTGGGCATAGTAGCAGTGTATGCAATATGTCTTTCATCTTTTCCATCACATACGGTAAAATGTACCTCTGCATCACGTCGAACAAAACTGATGAAAGAGGCCATTTCAATAGGCCATACAGGTCTTACACGATCCTCCATAACCGGTGTGCGAATAAGCGCCCGTGCATCTGTGGACACCTTAACTATAGGTGATTTGATACCACTATTAATATTCAGGTTATCACAGCGCCGAACATGCATAAGCAGCAAAACCAAACCATCCTTGCCCTGCAAAGAAGTGTTAGATTCCTCTTCAGGCCAGTGTTCTTCAGTCTGACGTGGCAGACAGACGCGCACCATCTCCTGAAAGTAGCTCTGATCATCTAATTTGACGTATCGATCTAGTGCTGATTGAAACATAGCAGCGTTGATTTTTGCTTGTTGTGAAATATCAATGCTGTTTGGTTTGGCCCAGCTATTGGCAGTGCTTTGCGCACCCATGCTTTGGCACTCAGAAGCATGGGATCCAGTGAGAGTAGCTACAGCGCTCGTTCGACTGCAGAAACTAACGCTTCTACTCAACCGTTGATTACCCCCTGCTGAGGAAACACGAGGTGGAGTGCGTCTAAAATTGAACCCAGAGGATGGTCGTAGCTGCCGAGACCGCGGCGAAGCGCCGCTTTGAGGACGGGACCTAGATGTCAAGGTTACCATATCCTCCACTGAACGGTACGTGGCTGATTGCCAATGAGGCAGCAACCCGACTTCTGGTGTACGGCTGCGTCGATGTGTGGTTGTTGCCGCAAAATCCAAACCTGTCCGAGGGCTAATAAGTGGGGTATCCTCATGTTCGGGTAACGGGTTACCGTCACGGAAAGCAGTAATGCCGTCAAGTGTATATACCACAGGGTGTGGCACAACATACTGCGGCAGTGTGAGGTCGTTTGCAACCGTTGTCTCCGACGACAACTCCTCCATCTGGTCAGGAGCATCATCCCGAATCAGTGTAACCTTGCTGCAGTTGACCTGTCGTAGGAACGCAGGCTGGCGTTCAGGTGGAAGAAGAAGAACCTGCTCCACCAACATTTGTTGAATCTCATCCGCATATCCGGGAAAGTCCGAGTCAAGAGCGCTAGCAGCTTGATCTTGAGGGACTGATAAAAGTTCTCCGGACCGCCGGCTGAGCTCACTCTCAATCTTCTGCTCGAGACGCCGCCTTTCACTAGGCTTGCCTTCTGAGTCGTTAGTTTCAGGTGAAACGGCTTTGTCTTCGAACAGGTACGCTTTCCAGTCAAAGTCAGCCACGATTCCTTCACTTTTCTCAAGGATAGATTCATTATTTACAGGTGGCGGTGGTGGTGGTGGTGGCGGTAGTTTCTGCTCCTCAGAACGAAATGCGACAGTCATCCTCTTTGTGCGTGGAGTTGTACCATTACTGATGTGGTTTGGCGGTGTGGGGAGTACCGGGGTTACGTTTTCTTCAACGATGCTATTGGGCCCATGCTGTGCCCGGAAAAGATCAATTCCTTGACGACAGATGTCAACAGCCTGTACACCGGCGTGAATGCTGGCAAGCGTCTCCATTATTACATCAGCTGGGATGGACCAGCCATCCACGGAGGTGCACGTGACCACATCCATCGGCCAAAGGTGTGGCCGAAGACATAGTTCACCCACAAACTCTGTCGTTGACCGAGTGCTTTGCGTATCCTGTTCGTTACCTAGTAACAAAGTACCACGGCCAATTACAAAAAGACGATCACAAAGCATACCCTTGGCAAACAATTTCTTCCCTGGCGGAATGACGTGAATTTTGGCTGACAATGCCAGAGAAATACGCACCTTGTCTGTCACCTGACTAAGACACGGTACACCACCTAGTAGCGTGGCAAGCCCCATAATATCTCTTAATTTCCCATCCTCAAGCCATCGTCGACGTCGCTCCAATGCCTTCTCAATCACGCCTTTGCAGAGTTCTTGATTCTTTCGGAGACGCCTCAAAAAACTTCGTCGGTGCAGACAGTATACCTCACACATGGTGGTAGCCACAGCATGACAGCAGCGAGGCTCATCAAATAAAACACTTATTTCACCAAAAGCAGCTCCAGCCTCAAATTCGAGAATCACTTCCTTTTTGACTAGTGTTCTTACAGTACCGCGCCGAATGAAATAAATATATGGACTACGATCCCCCTCAGCAAACAGCGTATCACCGATACATAAAGCCTTTACCTCCAATGTCCTGGCGAGTCGTATCCTTTCGCTTGAGCTTAACAATGGCCACAACCAGCTACGTCGCAGCAAAAGTGGCATGGGATAATACGTTTCTCTCACTATCTTCTCACACATGGGTGTTATTATCATCTTCAGGGTATCCAACACAATTCCTGCGGAAGGCCGCAATACGTAACTGTTTAGCACATCCCACACCCAGCGAGCGGGAGCTACCGCCACATCTGCATCTCCGTGTGCTCTAGCACATGACATTGAGGCATCTCTGCAAAGAACTACTCGATCACACAGCACCGCCTGAGCTGTGTGCCGGCGCTCGCACTGTTGATCATTCAGTGAAGCTTGCGACCCAAAATCCTTTGTCCTCTCACTCAACTCACCGAGAAGCAGAATCACTATCCCAGTAGATATATACCACTCTTTCATGTGCACAATGATCTCTCCCGGTTCAAGATAGAAGTACGATACCTCCTCGCCTATCAACCTCAGAACCTCCTCCGGCCAATTGGACATAATCGAATTGGAGAAGCGGAGTGCATGAACAACCGAATCCGCCGTATACTCTCGCAACACACGTCCACCAGGCAAACGCTTCTTCTTTCTTGTCCGTAAAACTCTTTTCATTACAATCGGCAAAAGAAGCTTCTGCAAGACAGACATCGCCTCTTGTGACTCCGGCAAGTTGAAATCAACCGGTCTTGGGGAACTAACAATGTACACACTTCCACGATTTGTCTTGGAGAGTCCGCTGTTTGTAGATTCCAATATGCTGCGTGTGAAGGCGCTGACAGGCCGCGGAGACACCAACACACCGCGAATTTCCCCGGCGCCACCGCCCTGTCGACAAGAAAGCGGTGGGGCCGACTTCATAGAGGTGCAACAAAAAAAAGTCTGTATAGATTCCTGAGCAATTGTACAGCTATTTGTGTTTGTGTGTACGAGTGTAAAGAACAATGTTACAACACTTAAAAGCGTATGGGCGCGCGTGAAGGAAGGGGTGGGGGGAGGAGGGGGGAGGCCAAGCCGAATCCTAAAACAATAAAGGGAACAAGAGTATTCACTGAACGACAGCAAAGTACGCGCTTGACAACTCCGCCTGTCGTTCCGCTACTCTTTCCCTCCGCCACCTTGTGCCCTCTACTCTATTCGGAAGGGTGGAGTTGGGGATAATGCGTGTACCAACGCGGCCCTCCATGCAAGCAGATAAACAGCGCAGAAGAAGAAAAGAAAAAAAAAGAACGAACAAATAAAGCAGCACAACAAAGCGAAAAGCAAACCAACAAAAAAAACAACAATATCACTTGAAGTACCAGCAACAGAAGGGATTGCACACCAAAGGAAATCACAGCAGCAACCAAAACACAGACACCCAGAGAACGAGGATGCACGGAAAACGAAAACTCAGAAAAGGGAGTACCCACACAATTTTCTTGGTTTCTTGGGTCAGTGTGACTCATGGCACCACGCAGCGCAGATATATATATATATATATATATATATATATACTCGTTTCTTTCCTCACGCCACATCACGAGATCCAGAATCACTTCTTCTACACAAATCAAATGCAAACCGTTGTCTTCGCTCTTTCCCCTCGTCTCCCATAGCACCTCTATTCAGTGGAATTCAGCGACGCAAGCCGCTCCGCTGCCTTTCGCTTATTCTCCTCTTTCACCATTTCTGTGTCGCGCTGCACTCGTGCCTCGAGCGCGTCATACTCCCGTTCCACTGTTGCGAGCAGCCACTCCACCCCATCTTCGAGATCGACATCCTCCTCAATGCCACAGGACGCCACTACGCGATGCGCGGTGCCCTTCTCTAGCACCTCGTCCAAGAAACCTTCCGGAACCACATTCACTCCTCGGCTGTTCTTGAGGTCTTTCTTATTGGCAAGGAGCAGCAATGGCTTGCCTCGTATGTACGCGTTACGTACCACCTCAGAAAGAGTCTTGAGAGATTCCTGCACCACAGCCTCATCGGCCGCCGAGTCTATTACAAACATGAGTCCATGACAATCATGGAAATAGTGCACCCATATGCCGCGGAAGTTCGCCGCCCCACCCAGGTCGAAGATGCAGATATCATTCTTGTCCGTCTGAAATCTCGTCGGGGTGAAGCCGACAGTTGGGGTTACGTCCTTGTCGATCTTGCCGCCGAGTGCAGAGATGAGCGTTGTCTTTCCAGCGTTGTCAACGCCAAATGTGCCGAGTGTAATCTTCCTGAGTGAATGCGCTGCCCCGACGGCGGTTGGCGGGAGAATGGTGGGGTCATATGTGTGCTTCGTCTTCTCTGCCTCCTCCACGTTGGCGAGCAGCTGCCGCATATAGACAAAGGGGTTTTCAGGACGCTCCACCAGCAGCTTCGTCGCAAGCAGCTCGAAGAGATGGTGCACGTTGTGCTGTTTGCAGTACGCTATGCGCTGTTCATCCTCAGAGGAACTCATCCCTTCTTTTGTGTTTGTTTGGTTGATCACTTGCCTCCTATCGTCTCACTCTCCGGGCCCGCCTTGCTTCTCAACTCACACACTTCCTTTTCCTTTTACAGTTCAACGTCCTCCGTCGCCCCCTGCAGGTGCAAAAACTGGCCAAAGCAGAAGCGAAACAGAAGAAAAAGGCCCCATTTGTGCATCTTGGGAACAAGCAAGACTCGATGAAGATCACGCACACCCGCGGTTTCCGGCAATGCTGCAACGTCAAGGAGAGCTGAGGTGAGCTAAAAAAAAAAAACGGGAAAAAGGCTAACTTTTTTCCTTAGTTGGTAATTTTTTTTTCCCTCTTCTGTCTTCCTTCTTCCTCGTTCTGATCTCCTTCCTCCTCTCACCCGTGGTTGACGGCGTACCATGTCCATTCTTGCACAGCTGTGCCCTTCTTTCACAGCCCGCTCAGGCCGCCACTACCGCCGCCGCCGCCGCTGCTGCCGGCTCTTTCCCCTCCTCCGCCCGAATCGCCTCCGTCGCCGTTCGGAGGCACTCCTGCAACTCGTACGACGCAACGCTAGGATCGAAGCATCGTTGGCACGTGCGGTCTTCCAACATCATCTTGAACAGTCGCACCACCTGCGCACGTGTTCCGTCCGTCTGGAACAAGTTGTCGTCCTTCCAACGCACGTAGAACTTAGATAGGATCGGCATTGCGCGATATTCAAGAAGGCTAAACGGTGCCGTTTCCGATGGCACAATTTCCTCCAGGAGATGCAGGATGTCACCGGCAGTCTCGTAAAACTCAGGGAAGGCGTCCAGAACCCCCATCGCGACCGGAATGAAATCTGCGTCCTCGATACGGGTGTTTACTGTTTTTGCACCACATGCCACTGGGGGGAGCTGCTGCATATCGTGCAGGACGCGGATATGCTGCGGGAGTCCCTTGTAGCGCGCAATATTCAAGTTGTTCACTGCCGCTTGCACGCCGTCAGCATCGATAATTTCCTTCCCGCCCTCCTTGGGGTAATGCCTCAGAATGGAGGAGATGAGCAATGTGATGTACCGCGTGTCCGTCGGGTCCCCAGAGCTTTGCTTCCAGGCATCCACGATTTGCTTGGCCCCGTTGGCCTGGAGAACGCGGCGCTCAACATCACCGTCCTCGCGCTGAGTGAAGCAAAATAAACAAATAGACCTAAGCGCCAAGACGCGCGCGTACTCGTCACGGCTGTGTTTCAGCGCCCGTAAGACCAGCTCCACACCGTCCCGCTGCTTCACAAAATACTCTGTAAGTGACGGGTACACACATATGAAGTTGATGAGTCGCAGGAACTCATCCGGTTGAAAAAAAACATGTTTTCGTGTCTTTCGTGTCCCCTCACCCAAAAAGTCGTCAATGGCAAAGGTGAGCAGTTCCTTTCCACCCGCAGCCAATAGGTCGGCCTCCGACAGGATCGGCGGGTCGAGGGAGAGATCCATGTGATCAACCAGCACACGTGCCAAGTACCCATCTGCCAGCTCATTGTCAGCGCGCAATGCAGCGAGCAGGAAACGCATCTGCTTGGGGAACTCCAGTGGACCAAAGAGCGCATCAGGCGGGAGCTCCAACGCCATCGTTTCGGGGTCCACATCGTGAAGCTCGATCCACTCCATCGTCTTGAGCAGTGGCTTCCGTATCTTTGTTGCCACAGTACCAGCAATCTCATCAAAGGGTTCGCGGTTGTAAAAGTACATCACAGCGCAAGTGCTGCTCAGCGCCCAAGGCCACAACTGGTGAAAACGCTCTCGTGCACGTCCTCGCGTGAACCACTCCGGTGCCCTACGCATCATCTTTACAGACGGGTTGCTACTACAACGGTTTCTGTTGCTACCAGGAAACCAACAAGAAGGGCGTACCTATTCCCTCAACCTTGCGCCCGCCAAGGCAGATCCTTCTATCCTTACTCCAAAAACCACACCGACAGAAGTGAAACAAGACACAAAGAAAACAAAAAAAAAAGACAAAACAAGAAAAAAAAGGTTAAAGTGGCACAAATAAACGCAGCACAATCAACAGAACGAAGGAGCCCAAAACGAGAACGGTCAAAAGACAAGACATCCCAATCTGATCAACGTCTTGGGCATTCCACCCACGTCGCAGCCACGTCACAGCGACGCCCACTCCCCCCCCAACCATTTATCCACGCTGCTGTTATCTCCCTTTCAGCCGGTTGAGATCAGAGGAGCCAGCACACGCTCGTACACATCGCGATGAATAATCAAGGATCCGTGGTCTTCATGCACCACCGCATGTCCTTCTCCACAACGAGAAAGGCAGTCAATCAGTACCTCCCGCTGTGTGCCAGTGGCATTTCGGAGCAACACAAGGTCATGACTAAATATAAGTCGCCGGCATTCTTTCTCCCACGTCAGCAGCTGATCGCAAAACGACTGGGGAATAACTGCGAGAAGTCGGGCATCCGAGACATTCCCAAGTCCTTTTCCAACGCCTGCTGCAGTTGAGCATGGCACTTCTGAAGGTTCACCTCCACTGCTGTTGTAGTGCTTCAACATTGACGGATGTGCCTTCACTGCGAGAAATCGTAGTATATGCGACGCACTGATGCCCTTCTGTAATGCCGATGCAAAGGACGCCCGTGTTACACGGTAGCATGCAATCATTTTATCCACTTCAGACTCCTTCACGGCGAATTGATCAAGAATGTTTAGAAGGTCTGGATTCTTTGTATAAGCATAGAGTCGAAAGTTCGTCTCTGTGATGATCGTGTCCTCGTCCTCGCGACGCACCCGATGGGATGGGCTTCCCTCGTCATCGAGCAGCGCCGCTGTGCACAACGGGGCCGTGCTGCTCCAGCAGATACCATGATGAAAGTGGGGCGATAGCGCGAAACACTGTTGGCCATTGCAGAGCAGCGGATACACAAGTCCCACCTCCGAGAGGCGTGCCAGGAGCTGAAATGCTGCCAGATCCTTCTCCTTTGTGGGAAAGCGGTAAATGAATTGACTTGAGTCGAGTTCAAACAAAACGGCCAGGAGCTGCCAAAGNTGAGCGCGCGATACACCACTGACACTCGTCAGAGCAAGGACACGATCCAAAGCCACTGAAATCAGTATCCACCACTGCTGTTGTAGTGGCTGCATGCAAAATCCTAGCCCATCCGAGGTTATACCCTTGTCTTCCGTGGGCGGAGGAACGAGGCGGGAGAACTGCAGCATGGCGGCGATCGGTTTGCCACGCTTATCACCCAGCGGTTCAATAGACCCTGCGAGGGCGCACGCTGTTACCATGCGAAGTACACTCCGACTCGCGTGGAGCGTGTTCTGCATGGATACCTCTGCAAGCGGCATCCGGGGCATCTCTCGTCCATACAGTCGGGGAATTCCGGCCACTTCGTATAGACGCCACTGACGTGGGCACTCCGGTGCAGGGTCCCACACACACTCGAGTGCCTCGCGGAGTGTACACCAGAATGGCCCCACAATTGTGTTTTCTCGTGGTTCTGAGAAAACCCTCTCAGTGATTTCCCCTACCGATGTTGCAGACAGAAGGACCGACACCGCGTCATCTGCATTTAAGGGATCAGTAACTCGTCCTCCCCCCTGCATCGCCGCAACAAATTCCCGCCAAAAGAAGTGTACAAGGGCCGGACACTCTGCCATGAGCGTCTCACGCTCCGGGTAGCTGAGCACCTGTTCAAGGAAGGAGGGGTTCATCACGTTTTTTTTTAAACCCCTGGCCAACTTCTGCTTCTTCTCCAGCTGTGCCTTCGCACTGCACCCTTTCGAACTCCCCTCCCCTGGTGTGGGGAATAAAAAGAGCGAACAAAGAGACATGAGTCATGTGGGGCGCCAAATTAAAAACAATAATACAACAAAAAATGTTTTAATTAAGGCCTGAAAACAGCCAGGATTGTTCTCTCTCCCCTTCAGAGACTTCCCCCAACTTCATTGGAGACCAGAGGGCAAGAGCCTCATCCCACCCGGTGCGTGTCATTACAAACGATGGAAGCTGGCTTACATACTCGTACTAGTATTACACCAACTCCGCTGGCGGGAACCAACTTGCGCCCCACGCGATAATGTCCCAACATAGCTCGGCTGCAGCAAACGCCTCGGGGACGTTGAGACTCGCAACCTCGACGCCCGAGAGGATGAGACAACCTCCTTAACTTCATCATCATTGTACCATGGTTGGTTGACCGTCTTGGACGGCATTTTAGCCGCGAACTCGCTAAGATCAGCCAAGGTTTGCGGAGTAAACGCACGACTTGATGTGGACTGTGGCGTGTGAGTAGCAGCCATCGCTGACGGCAATGTGGTCCGTGGTAGACGATTCCACAATGATACCGCCGCTCCAGTCTCCTCTTCATGCGATGAGAGCGGGCCTCCTTGCTTCAGCTCACCGTGCTCCGGGGCCACAGGATGCCAGGCATCGTAGGCACGATGAGTTACATTCCTCTCTGTCAATTCCATGGGGTTGCCGCGGCGACTGTCCGAGGCCCGAGAGTGCGGCGTCTGCGACTGCACAGGGTCGTTCTGACTCTGTGACGACATCTGGGTTGCCTTCCATTGCTCCGAAGCATGGCTTTTATTCGGCCCCAATTGGCTGAGCTTCGTCTTCAGCATCGCTATTTCCTCTTGCAAGACAAGATGTGCCGCTGCATGATGTGCGGGTGGGGCGAGCTGGTGGCCGTCTGCAAGCAGTCGATCTTTGAGCGATCCGCCCACAATATCTGCACCTCCCACACGTGAGGTGTTCAGGCATGTTGTCGATCGCCCTTCTTCTAGCAGCTTTTCCCGCAAGGCAGCGATCGCCTTGTCCTTCTCCGCAGACCGGCTTTGCTCTGTTCTGAGGGCAGCCTCTAACTCTGCGCAGCGTTCACAACACCGTCGTTTGCACTCCGCCATTTGCGCAGCCCCTTCGCGACGGAGGCACGCCTGTAAACGCTCCACTTGTTCCCGAAGCTCCACGTTGGTGTCATAGAGACGTATCATCTCTTTTCGCATCGTATCTGTGCCACTGCTGCCGGCACCTCCCTCGCCGGCCCGGCTCTCCACCTCACGCGTTGCCGTAGAAGCTACACCGTCCACAGGAGAGGCCGACCTATTTGGCGCGACCGTGCTGGCGCTGGAACGATTGCTGGGAAAGAGAAACTGGGTCTTTTTTGGAAGGGGAGAGCCGTCAAACCATGTGTGCGCAGTGGGCGCGAGCACCAGAGGTTGTGCCTCATGCAATGCCTCCGCAAAAGCAGCAGCAGCAGCGCCATCTACCCCCCTTCTAGTACTGGGAGCGCGTGCTGAGAGGGCGCGATTTCTCTCCGCTCCAGAAAACGATGCCGGAGATCGCATCAGCCATGTAACGCGAATGCTGGAAGGCCCTTTCCTTTTTTTTACTTTCCCCAGTCGCTAAATAATAAAAAGCAACGAAAAGGCGAAAACACACCCGGTAAAGCATCAATGCAAAGAGACAGTGAGCCAAGTAAACAGAAATGCATATTTTTTTTTATTTCGAGGGGAGTCCATCGGTCTTGGAAGATGTTTTCCTTTGTTTAAGCAGCCGTAGACCAGCTGCGGCATCGTTAACCGTGTTGCACACAAATGGCAAGCCCAACAACATCTATGTGTTTTTTTTTTCTTGGTGAACTCATTTGTTGGATTTTGTTTTATCTTTGTACCAGCGACTCCCCTATAATGGTCCTTCATTCAGGAACGAAAAAGAAAAAAACAAAGGCTTCTGGAGGCGTCATTCGTCCCTTCAAACACAGTTAAGCCCCGGTGTTCCTAACATCAGCGGCGTGTTTCAACTGGATAGTTGTATGCACAATGCCCAGCTGCCTGCAGCGGCACTCTGCATCCTCAACAACTGCATTGGCCTCACTGGTCGTTGCACATCCGTTGGTACACAGATGCGCGGAGAGAACGCTAAATCCCGGCCCTACAGCCCAAATATGCAGATCATCTACAGCCTGTACCTTCTCTACACTCAGTAAAGCATCGCGTGCAACAGTGTACTCTACAGCGGGCGGCACTTGCTCCAACAAAATGACAATGACTTCTTTAAAAAGATTGAGAGTTGTATACACAGTAATGACGCCAAATAGGACGGAGAGCAGGGGATCGGCGAGGTTGTAGTAGCTGTGCGCACTGCTGGGGACACCCACACTGGAGTTATTACCTGCCCAAATAACACACGCAGCCAGCACAACCCCAAGTGACTGAAGGCAATCGCCAAACACATGCAGCACCGCCGCACGTAGGTTCATACTCTGCGATCCCCGCTCATGAGAGCAGATGCTCTCCGCGTTTGAAGAGGTTGTCTCCACCACCACCTCCTCCATCATCTCAGATTCTGGCGAAGCACACTCCAGACGTTGCATATCCGCACCTCCGTTGCCATGGGAGTGAGAGCACCCGTCACGGTGTTGGTGTTCGTGATGAAGGTGGCTATGACCATGATGGTTGTCGCGGCTGTGGTAATCAACATCATGATCAAACTCAACACTTGACAGCATGCCGTGGCTGTGTGGGTGTGCGGCGCCGAAGCTCATGATCACCGCCAGCACAATGTTCATGCAGAGACCGAACACACCGACGCCAAGCATAAGCTTCGCGTTAATCTCCTCGCATTGAATACGCGTTGGAGCAGCGGCGCACTGTATCACATTCACTGAGCGGTCCATTGCGCCAAGAATAATCCAGGCAACAAGCGCCCACGTTGAGAGAATGGAACACAACGCGCCAACAACTTCCGCGCGTCGCCAGCCGTATGTCAGTTTTTGTGTTGGGCCCCAGGAAGAAGCATACANAACACAACGCGCCAACAACTTCCGCGCGTCGCCAGCCGTATGTCAGTTTTTGTGTTGGGCCCCAGGAAGAAGCATACATTGCAAACAAAGATATGGAAAGCGTGAACACATCCGTAAGCATGTGCACTGCATCGCTGAGAATAGCGAGGCTGTTTGCAATAATGCCGCAAATTCCTTCAACACACATCATGGTCACGCAGAACATGATGGCAAACGCAAGCGCATAATGTCCCCTCGGTGTAGACTCATGGACACCCTTCATGCCGACCACACACTCCACGCTGTTCACCATGGCTGCAGAATGAGCCCTAGCAGAAGTACCCCCGCCCGCAAAATGGGGCATTAGGACCACCACCGCCCAAAAGCCTTTACGGTCCCACTTTTTGATTGACTGCAGGTGTGGTAAGCATAAAGTTAAAAAGAGAATGAGAAGACTAGAGGAAGCACCAACATCGGATTGTATGCCCATGGCAAACACAAGCAAACGCAAAACAGTCAAGTAATTTTCCTTTTGGCCTTTCGCCATCCGCGCAGTAGTAGCTCGGTGAAGCACAATTCGCCTGCAACAGGCACCATGCCTCTTCATCTAAAAAATCTCTCACGCTCTCACATTAATTCGCATCACACCCTTGGCCCGTCTCCCCACATCGTTACAGGACGACACGGAGGGCAAAAGGCATCCGCACTCTCTCCGACTCGTCACTCAGCATCGTATTTCGGTGAAGAAGAAAAAAAAAACCCAACCACAGAAGTGTATGTACATGAATGATTGTAATGAAAAAAGTACCTTCCGTCCCTCGATCCACCATCACCCCCCACCAGAAAAAGAAAACAACATTCACCACCGCCAACAACAACAACAACCACAACAAAAACAAGAAAAAGGAACTACACCGCCAAGGACGATCTTCTCTTGGACTTCTTAGTCAAAATTGTCTGCATCCTCGTCACTGTCCCCGTCATACTCAAGCACGCTCCACCGATTTGTCCGTGCTGGTAATAACGGCACACCATTGTCTAATCCGTCATTCAACAACGACCTTTGCTGCGGCTGCTGCGGCTGCTGTGGCTGCTGCTGTTGCTGCTGCTGTTGCTGCTGCCGTGTGGGTTCTTGTTGTTCTTCTTCTTGTTGCGGCAATCGAGGCACACCAGATTTCATCATGCCCTTGTAAATGCCAACGTCAACCTCAGCGCCAATGCCACCCGCACTGGAGTGGTGCAACACAACGTCACCGTACTCCGTCTGGTAGTCTTCTTCGCGCATCTGTGAAGGTCGTGGCGGGCGGTCAACGTGAACACCCCACTTCAACGCTTCGAGGATGTTGGTTGGCGGCGGAGCGACACAGTCTGCAGTGGATGCTGTCGCTGCTGCTGATGCAGTTACCTTTTTTTCGGTCGCCATGGGCGTGGTTGCCTGTGGGGTGGCGGCATGTAACGCCTCTCGCATCGCCGACTTGGACAGTGCGTTGGCGTTGCTATCCACTGCATCGGCCAGCCTCGACCTTTGGCGGTGCTCTTCTCTTGCAGCAGAAGCGTCGTCCGCGATGTCGAACGGAACATCCACCCACCGCTTGTGCTTCAAAAAGAACTCTGTTTGCATTGTCTGTATCTTTGTCAAGAAGGCATCACGTGCGTCAGCAACAACACGGTCTCGTTCCTCTTCTTCTTCAGTGCGGAAAGCAAAGTCTACGGTGTCTACCACGTCGTTATCGTCTTCATCTGCCTCGTTGGTGTCGTCGTTACCGCACGTGTCGCCGTGCTGCTGTAGGCCAAGTGTGCTAGGGAGACTTGCGCGAACAGCAGCGTAAATCTCCTGGACCTCATTTGCCAGCGACTGTCGCGTGATGTCAAAGTTAGAAGGAACAGTCGCAACGGCACTGACGGCAGCAGTAGTGGCAGCAGATGCACCGTTCTTTACCTTCTGCGCCCCTGTGCTCGCCTTTGCTGAAGTATGTGGGGAAGCAACAGCAGTAGCAGCTGCAGCCTCCTCTTGCAAACGCCATTTGAAGTAGAGGGCGCGTCCCCGACAAACACCTGCATCGAAGAAGCTAGCGTCAACGTGTGCCACTTCGCGCTTTTCCGCCGCCGTCACTGGGCGGGCGAGCATATCCCGCACGCACATCGCCACCTGCTCCCACGGCTCGGCGTCATCGCCGCAGCAGAGGGCGGCTGCGTCCAGCGGTGCATCGAAGCGTGCCGCCAGCAGCAGGATATAGTGGTCTATGAATGTACTGAAGTTGTGTTCAAATGCCGGCATGCCTGAAGAATAAATGCGTGTGTTTGTCTGGATGTCTGTCTTTTTCTTTCCTCCTTGTATGGGTACACACGTTAAAAGCGAGTGGCACCAAAATGCCTGCTTACCTTTCCATGTGTGGAAGCGCACGGGACGAAAATAAAATAAAACAAAATGAAGAAAGGGGAAAGGGAATGGCATTACAACAGAAACATCTCCAACCGCCAACAATGAGGAAAAACCGACAAAACAAAACCATAGTCAGAAATGATTGCATGCCGTATTTTCGAAGAGGAGAGGGGAAAGCAAATAGACAAGATCCGAAGCATGACGACAGCACGAGTGGCGATCCTTCGCGCACGACCCCCTGCCATCCTCACCGGCGGGAAACATATAGACGTTGAAGAGAATCGCATTCCGTCAAAAGGTCCAGAAGAAGGAAAAGGTTTGTTCTTTCCAAATTTTGTGACCTAAAAAACGGTATGATGACGAGGGGGGGGGGAGG